CATTCTTTTTGTCCACATCTGTAGTTAGACTTTTGTGTATGCTTTTGTTTTTTTATGTTTTCATAGATAATTTAAAAAATTTTTTTTCATTATATTACAAAAAAAATTATTAGCTTTCATTTAATAATTTATTTTACTTTCGGGTTGGAGTGAGAAATTATAAACACTCATAAAATAAGAAAATGAATTTTCAGAAATTTAATGAAAACTTGGAATATTGTTAAGAATAGTTGTCATTGAAATAGTGAAATTATGCAAAGTTTTTTTCTTTGTTTCTGAAAAAATCAGCATTTGTTAACAAACATTGCAATTGACAAAATGGAAATTATGAATTCAAAATTTTGTCATTTTTCGCTATATAAAAAACTTATTTATTTGACAGATGGAAATTATGCAGAGATGACGATAGAACGTGGAGGGAAAGAAGCTGCTCGGTGATAAAGCATGGGCTTTCAGCTTTTGAGAATTTCAATATTTTTTCGAACATTGAAATCTATTTTTAATACTTTTCAATGAATGGCGTTCCACTTTTTTTATAATTATTACTTAATAAATTACATAGTAATTACTATAGGGAAAAAATTAATTTAGTAGATTTTACGAAACTGTTACGGAGTAGCGGATACAGCTTTTTACGAAACTGAGTTTTGTAAAATGTAAGGAATATTTCAGAATAAACTTCAAAAATATACTGTATAAACTACGAAAGGTCTGTACTTTATCCTGAAATTATTCCATACATTTTATAAAACTCAGTTTCGTAAAAAGCTGTATCCGCTACTCCGTAACAGTTTTGTAAAATCTGCTAAATTTATTTTTTCCGTGTATTATTATTATAATACTTTATAAATTAGAAATGTATATAATTATAATTTTTATAATAAAAAATAAGAGTTTTATTGAGTAATAATATTGAAAAAAAGTGGAATGACATTTCTTTAATCTTACATTAACTATTACGATGGTTATTAGTTTAGAAATTATGTAATTAAATGTTTCATGAAAATTTTATACTTGTTATTTTTTTATTCACTCCCTTTTAAGTTAAAAATTTAATTTATTATATCTTACATTTAAAAAACATTCACATATGTACATGCATAAGATATGAAGATGCTGCTTTCAAACTTAAAATTGACCTTATTTAATTTTACTGTTCTTCGAAAAGACCAAAACATTTGTGCCTATTAATAAACACGATTATATATAAAAATTACCCCTGCGAGCGAGCTTTTATTGCAGTCAAATTGTAAAATTAAGAAAAAATATTTTATTTCAAAGATCATTATATCGATCGCTTTTAGTCTGATTAAAAGAGACAGTACTATTCTTTAAGTTCGAGTGGTCCAGCTGTCTTCTTTATATTACACTATAGATGATTTTACTTTGAAGAGTTGAAAAGAACTTTTTCAATTTATATAATGAAGATAGTATAAATTTATGTCAAAAGAATTTATACAAGAGATATTTACAATTAGTAGAATAAAATATATAGTGTAAAATTGAAAACATTGCATTTATGTCTAATTAAATATACTTATCAAAAGAAATTCTGTTAAAGAAAAATCAAGTATTATAAAACAGTTTACAAGAAAATACAAGGAAAAAATGTCATTAACATTCAAACTTTTAATTTGTTAATGAAACTAACAGTCAATATATTAATTTTTGAGAAGAATACAATAAATAAAAATTTATACATTTCATGACCATTTAGCTTTTTTGATTATGAAAAACAAATGTCCTCGGTTAGAAAACAAAAAATGTTCATGCTATGATTATAATTTTTAAATTGTTTTACGAATCTTTAGTGAATTTTATATTTTGTATATGCCAATCGCTTCATTGTTTATTGTAAAATAATTATTTAAAAGTTTTAAAATAAATAATAAAATAAGTTTTAAAAGAATCCAAAATTTTAATTATTTACAGAAAAAATTAGCCATTCATTTTATAAATATAATTGGTAAACATATATTAATCCTTGTGTCAGATTTTTGACATTAATGACTGAAATAAGCCTTAAAAATTTCAGGACAATCCGTCAAAGCGAGATAATTGGTACACAATATTTTATGACATACAGACACTCACACATACATTTGCAGATTTGCTCAAAATTTTAAAAATGTGCATTTTTAATAAAAATGAGTCCATATAACCTTTCTCTAAAATATTAAAAACTTTCATAAACATAACATAAAAATATATTGTAATAAAATGTAAGCTTCCTCATGAAGCAAACGTATTATACATAGAATCTCAGTAGCTTTTATTATTTTCTTATTGACAGAAAATATGCATAACATTCATTACTGTTTGGTCATACCCTGACGTTTCCTTATATAACACATACTTAGACGAGAGTTAATGACATTTTTTTATATTGTCCTTTCTTGTAATTGTTATATACTTGATTAGTGTCTATTATTATATGTGCTGATGTTTAACTTGACAAAATTTTAATATCATTAGTTTTATGCTATATTTTATTTTTTTAATGAATATCTCTTGCTTAAACATCTCTTAATTAAATAAAATAATTTTTTTTTCATTTTTTAAAATAAAATCTAGATTATGAAGAGGACGACTGTGTCGTTAAAACTTAAAGAACAGTGTTTTTATTTTATATCTGTCTTCCCGCGTAAAAAGGGCTACCGCAAGGCTACCTTAAGGCTCAAGGATCACTTAAAGCTCAGGATGTGTTAGAAGCTAACAATTTGTTTAAGACTTCAGACTGAACGAAAACATAAGGCTCGCTTAAGGCTCAAGACTTGTTTGAAGCTTAGACTCATCTAAGACTTAAGACTAAACTAAGACTTTTAAAACTCGCTTAAGGCTCACTTTAGGCTCAAGGCTTGTTTAAACCAAAAACTCGTCTAAAATTTAAGACATAAGGCTCGCTTAAGGCTTAAAGCTCACTTAAAACTCAAGACTTGTTTAAAGCTGAAAATTTGTCTACAACCTAAGATTGGCCTAAGACTTTTAATACTCTTTTAAACACCAAGGCTTATTTTAGGCTCAGTTTTGTTTGAAGCTAAAAACTTGTCTAAAGGCTCAAGGCTCAAGAGTTGTTCAAACCTAAAATGTCGTCTAAATATTAAAACTGAATTGAGAGATAAGGCTCGCTTAAGGCTAAAGACTTGTTTGAAGCTAAAAATTCATCTAAAACTTGAGACTCAACTAAGACTTAAGTCTTAAGCGAGCAACATCTCTTAGTTCAGTCATAAGTTTTAGACGAATTTTTAGCTTCAAATAAGCCTTGAGCCTTAAGCGAGTCTTGAAAGTTTTAGTAGTCTTAAGTCTTAGAAAAGTTTTTAGCCTAAAAAAAGCCTTAAGCCTTATGTCTAAGTTCAGTCTTTTGTTTAAAATTGAGTTTTTAGCTTCGAACAGGTTTTGAGCCTTAAGTGTGCTTTATGTCTTAAGTTTTAGAAGAGTTTTTAGCTTCAAACAAGTCCTGAGCTTCAAGTGAGCCTTGACCCTTAAGCGAGTCTGGAGGTAGCCTTAGGGTAGCTTTGAGGCAACCTTGTGGTAGCCAACATTTTTTTACGCGAGTCAGAGTGATTAATAATAAAGATGATAACATTTTTATTATTAATTACACCGCTGAGTGATAAATTCACATTAAAACTATAAATACTTGATATGTTTTTCACATTTAATAAAATTTTCGAATTTATAATATATGCCGTATGCAAATTTCCAACATAATCAAATTTTTTTTAAACACTTTCAAACGCACAACTTTTTTCAAATACAAACAAAACGCTTAGAGAAAATTCTAAAAAAAACTTAAGAACTATACAGTTAGAGCATCCGCCATTGCACTTTCCTCCATTAATATAAAGCTGGAAAATTTCTATAGGTTAAACAATATACGTTATATATACAAATTAATTTAGTTAAAAAATAAAAATTAATTTTTTTATCCTAAAACGTTAATATAATGTTACTTTGAGTTCCTAGATTTAAATTGAACCAACTCTTTTAAAGTGCTACAACTCGTATATTGATATTAATGTCTTTTTCACAATTTGTAAATAAATTTATTTTTCACATAATGAAATGGAAAATTATGGTTGAACACAAATTATTTGACAGTCTTTTCGCCCTAGGTTTTCTCGTCATTGACAAGACTTTTAACTTAAGATTTCTCAAGTTGTGCGTTATACAATATTTTAAAGTTGACGAGTAACAGTTTTTTGATGGCCGTTTTTCCCCATGACATTTCGGAAAAAAATATTGTTATTAAATGTTGTAATGCTCGGAAATATGTATAAAATAGGTCTAAATAACTCGAAAGTTGAAAATCGTCAATTTGTTTACGAGCAAATTAATTTAAACCACTAAAAATATCACTTTTTAATGGTTTAATAGCTCTTACAATAGTTAATAAATTTTTTTGATAATACCGGAATCTTTCTATTCGTGGACATTTTATATAAGTGTGTCAAAGCTGAACCCAATCAGAAAAATAGTTTATGAAGAATTTTATTTGTTACCTGAAAAAAATGTTTCTTTAATAATTCCAATATTAACCGTTTGGGGTAAACGTCTTTCGATTAGTTACATTTTTCTACACATATTTTAAAAAATTTAAGTTGTTTAATGTTGAAAAAGAAAAAAAATAATGTTTCTTTAAAAAAAATCCTGAGGCTTAAGTCATAATTTAATTCATTTTAAAATAAATTTACTTAACCCTTTGAATCATACATTTTTCTAGTCAAGGAATTTAATACTCAAGTACACTTTAGGGGGTTTTCAGGGTCGCTGATTAAGAATCTAAAGTCGGATTTTCCATATTTTCAAAATTCAAAATGGCTAATACAATATGTCGGACTAATTTTTTAAAATTGATCAAATTCACTTGAAATTTGTTACTAGGGGGTTTTTGGGGAACGCTGATTACGAATATGAAGTCAGATTTTAAAAATTCAAAATGGCGGATCCAATATGGCGGTCTTTTTTTAAATTGTTCAAATTCACTTGAAACTTGTTACTCGGGGGGTTTCAGGGTCGTTGATTACGAATATGAAGTCAGATTTTCAAAATTCGAAACTTATTAATATATAAATATATATTATAAAATGCATAAATAAATATATATACATAAAAATTTGCAATTAGGGACACCACAAAATCTACAGCTACCAAAATTTATATAAAGCAAATAAATGTTGAAGAATTTGTCGTCTAAAAAACCCCAAGTAACGAAATCAGCGACCCCAAAAACTGTCTAGACATGATCCTCAAAGTATTTTATATTATTGGTCATCCGCTTCGGCACTTATAAGTATAGGGGACCACGAAAGGTATATTTTCCCAGAATATGAAAATAATTTGTTAACTTTGAATAACAATTTTTTTCTAAAATGTAATGGGGCGACTGTACGATGATAACTTATAATATTTTGATGTCAAGTAATATAGTCGTGTTATTTTAATTTTGTCATTTAGACAACCATATCATTGAGACTCTTTAACCTCAGAACAAATATGGCTTCGAACAGTATATGATTTTTAACTTAATTTTCATTGGTCAATAGAGCATACAACATTGCAAATCAGGACTAGCACTCTTAAAATTAAAGAAAACGTTGTCATTTCGTGGCACTACCACTCTTTAAATTTAAGAAACATTGTCATTTTTTGTTTTTCAATGTTATCTGATGGTTCACTGAATACATATGACATTCACAACAAGAAAATATTTTTACAAAATTGTATCCAATACATGAAAGCTTTTGTGTTATCGGAATATTAATAGTTAACACTCGAAGCAAAACAAATCGCAAAGTTAACATACTTTTCAAACCCCCTATTTTATTAATAAAGAAATGTCTTTATAATTTGACTAGTATTTTTCTCAAGTAAGTCAAATACATTTTTTTTAGGTTTTCTTTGGTAATAATAAATCTACATATGTCTGAAACTAATGCACATAGTGTATTTATGCAAACCTAATTTATATACAGAATTAAGAGAAATTTTTATTCAGTCTTTTCTCAAGAAATAGAACTGGTTCAATGAAAACACTGATTCAATGATGTTCCACTTTTTCCTACAGAAATTTTTGTAATTTTTCCAAAAGAATTTAGTCAGTGCTCTGACAAAAATTTTCATTTGTTCAAAAAGATAGTATAAAGCATTTATGTTTTAAAAAATTTCACAGGCATACAAAATTTGGTCTAGAATAGTCGTATTTCTCAAAAGAAAACATTATGTACATATTAAGAGAGATGTTGCATTATTTTTGAAAAGAAGTCTTTTAGGGGCAAGTTTTTTTTGCATCTCTTCATATGCAATAGAATAAAAGTGGAGAGGCACAAGTAGATAAAGATTTTTTTTTTTTGAAAAAAGCAAATAATTTTTAAAAATTTCAACATTTATAAACAATGTAACAAGAAGTATTATAAAGTATTTTATATCAATATGTAAGCAATTTACAAGCAATTACAAAGTTTAATGACTGTATTTAAATTTTCTATATATAGGCCCTATTATAAATGTTTCTAATTACTCACTTATTTATAACCCCCCTCCCCTAATTTATCGTTTCTCTTAACTGTATCAAGCAGCTGTGAGTGTTTGGAATCATCATCGCCTCCATTAATCTGTAAGGCTAAAATTACATCTAACTCGACGATATATATATTATTTTTGAGCATTGGGACCAGATATAAAATTTCTGAAGATTTTGTCATCTGTCGTAAAGTTCGAAGAAAAATATTCTGACCATTCAAATTAAGTTCACACCACTTAGGCTCATTTTGTTTAATAATGAGAAATAGATCTTAAAAAATCTAAGAATGCTGTTCAACACTGGCACAAAAATTTATTGCCTTAAAGTTTTATTTTTAACTGTAAATTTATTAATAAATGAAAACCATTCATAGGTGGTGTAAAATTCTCAGCAGAAATGCGACCTTGGACGTCAGACAAGAAATTTTTATGATTTTATGTACTATCTTCATCTGAGCTGGAAGATAAGGTGAAAGATGTGGTGTTCTTCGTTAGAGACGAGACATTTTGGCAGCAATATCAGAAGACGCAAGTGCAGTCCTCTGAACTCCGGCCCTACCTGGCTCGTTTTCGATTCAACTTGGCAAGCTTGCGTCGCTTCAATATTAACTGATAGAGAGTATCAAGTCCTTCATGAAGACCCTCTCCTGTAATTGCACATGCTGACTGAACTTTTATGAACGAACTTCCTGGAGTTCCTGTCAACTCCAGAACTCCAAGGTGCTTTTCTAACTCGTTGACTTCCTTGGCGCCTGCAAACAAAATAAATGAAAGTATATTTTTAGTTAATAACTATTAACTATATAATTAGATAAGTAGGGTACCCCAGTTGGAACTTTCGAAAAATTGATCAATTTTTTATATTACTATATGTTTTCAGAAATGTGTCAGTAAATTTCTAAGTTGTTTCGATGAAAAATAAATGAGATATACAGCACAATGTGAAGGTGCACCAGGTCGCTCCAGACCAGCCGCACCACACAATAGGTGCTTCTCTTTTGTCTTCCTCTTCGGTATTTCGGATTTCTTTACCTGTTCTCACTTCTCTACAGATTTCAAAGAGAGTGGGAGGGTGACGAAATACACGGAAAGAAAATATCTAAAGGAAATTTTAATGCTCTGAACCAAAAAGTTGGACGAAAGTCTTTTTTAAAAAATACTAAGATTGTTTGAAAAACTGAGAATCAAATGTAGGATCTTTATATATTGTTGATAACTTTTTTAAGACATTAACTTTAATATTTATTTTGTGCATAATAATGATAAATTCAGGAATCATCATTTATCTTGCTTAAAGGGGAGTAAGGTACCTTATTTAAATTTTTTTTGCATTTTTAGGCCAATTTCCATTACCACAATTATTATTTTATTTTTGATGAAACAACATTTCGGTAGTAGCCACTACCCTTATAAAACATTTTTATATGTTTACATTTTATGTTTTTTTTATGTTTTTATGTTTACATTATAAAACATTTTTCCAAGTTTTAATGTTTGACACTACTTGATTATTATATATTTGTGATATTTTATAATAAAATCCTTTGTAAATTGATGACCAATATAACCTATAAACAATTTCCAATTTTACACAAGAATCCTTTCAACGGACATCATCAACTTACAAAGGATTTTATTATAAAATAAATCTAACAATGTATTGTAAACACATTCAAAACTTTATAAAGTTATTCTAATTCATATGGCAACCAATTTTCTGATTACAATGCTCAGTAACTTTTTTAATGTCAAAATAGTCTTATTGTGTAATTTATCTTACAGTTCATAATTCTATACCATGAAAGTTTAATAATATAAAATCTTAATTAAAAGGTAATATTAACTAACCAGGTAAGTCTTGTTTATTAGCTAGAATTAAAATTGGAACACCCGCATTGTCAGGACTTCTCGCTGTTCGGGTAAGTTCCATTTTAGCTTCTTCCAGTCTTTCAACGTCGCAAGAGTCTACTACGAAAATGATACCATCCGTACATCTTGTGTATGATTTCCAAAGGGGACGTAATTTTTCTTGACCGCCAACGTCCCACACCAAGAAACCAACTCCTGGAACAACAAAATTAAAGAATTTTCAATTTTTTAAATCTTTTATACTCTAAATTTGAATTACATAATAATCATGTCCTAGTGGAATGTGGACTAACTAAAAAATAACATTAGTAAGAAAAGAATGAAGATATGTAAATCTTTTTCTTACTAATGGCATTTTTTATGCGGTAAGTGCAGCGCCCATGCTTCTTCGTGCCAAGTCTAACAACGCTTGCCGCGGTGATGAATGGTTTTGTAAATGTAATTGAGCAATATGAATGTTAATTTAACGAAAATTACTTTAAAAAAAGTAATTAATTTGATAGGCAACTATTACTATTAGTATAAAATGAACATAAAATTTTGAGGATAGAAATGAATATACACGGTAAAAATCAAATTTAAACCTTTTGAAAGGTAAAGGGTACAGCGGAATAAGAATGCAAAATCTACCTTTGCCCCCAAAAAAACTGAAATTATTACTAATAGTTGGTACTAATGTAACAAAAATTTCCACCAAGTATTATTTTTAATAAATGCATTTTTACAGGAGTTATGGGGGGAAAAAACATTAAATTAAAAATTGATTTTTTTCAAAAACGTCTTTTTCAGGATGTCTAACAAAGATTGAGAAAAAAATTCCCTCACTTTTCCATGACTTTTTACTAATTTTATTTCTGCTTTCTAGGTTTTCAGAATGTCTTCTCTCTGTTCCAAATTCTATTCTTATAAGTGTGGAACGATTTTTTATTATATTTTGACGAAACATTTTTATATTTTGTCGTGTTAGCATATGTTCGATGTTTTAACAAAATTTAGATATATAATTGTTGTTAATTTATCAAAAATAGTGCTTTTAGACCTTTATAAAAAAATTATCTATTTAATACCTACATTTTTAGCCTGATGAGGTTGTCAAACCCAAGCCAATGTTTTGCTGGCCGTGAGAACGAATGTTTGGGTTTCCTTTGGAAACCATGATGTTTCAAAAGCCAAATGTTTATTTTATTTTAGAACTTGATGAAACCAGTAATGCGAAGAGTGAAGAAGAACTACATATTATAGGCATAGGTATTGATTAGGGAGTGAAAAAAAATTGTAAGTAAACATCTAAACATGTACTTCATCAGGTCGCACGGAGCAAGAGAAATCTTTATCGAACATTTGCTAAAGGCTTTGGACATAAATAACTTTCTTTTAAAGCAAATACTTACTCTGAGTAGAGACGGAGCAAATGTCAATAAAAAATTTGTGAGATTGTTTTAAAAGAAACTTAAAAGTTTAGGTTTGAAGTGTCTTCTCGATACAGGACCATGTAACATTCATATTTCTCACAATAGTTATTTGAAAGGATGAAACTTCTTGTCTGTTGATATTTTGGATCTTATCATCAAGATATATTACATTTTTCACAGTCATGACCCAAGGTATAAAGACTTTGAAGAAATAAAAAAAACTGAATTTACCTTAGCTATGTTTCTGAAACATGTTGAAACAATATGGCATTCCATGAAGTTATCGGCTCAGAGAATTTTGGAACAATTCAGTGCGCCTAAATACTATTGCTTCCGCATAAAGGAAGCTTTGTATTAGCAAAATTTTGGATTGTCATTTTTTGACATATTTATAAATTTTTTTTTAATATGCCTAACACTTTAGTACTTTATATATGCACAGGAACTCCCCGTATAAATGTTCTAAATAAATAAAAAAAAAATTTCGACGTATTTTGACCTCCGAAGTCCAAAAAACGTATTTTAAAAATTTGTCCCGATGTGTGTGTGTGTGTGTACTAACATTACATTTGCCTCAATATCTCAGAACGAGAAAAAGCTAAAGGCCTCAATTTTTTTTAAATTGTAGGTCTCCCCGGGGGACATAAAATGAGAGTATTTTCAGCCCGATTCAGGAAGTTTAACTAATTTTTTTTTGCATTTTTAATTTTTCAAAAAAACGTTTTTTGACCATAACTTTAAAAAAATGTTAGGACACCTATAAATTTTTTTCTTTAGTTTTGTAGAGTTTTTTCAGATGCATCTTTTGAGCCATCACCGAACATTTTTCGTCCATATTATCCGTAGATATTAAACTTTTAAAAATATAAATTTTTGGAAAATAAGACTTTTTTAAAAATTTTGTTGAAAAATGTAAAAGTAACTTTTAAAGTATCATTTCCAACTTGTAGAGCATTAAAAAACGCTTCGATAGACCTATTTGTCAACTTGATTCGACCAGAAATTACGAAATTATTGGTATTTTAAAAATCAAAAAAAATTGTCGAAAATAACATTTTTAAAATTTTTTTATTTAAGAGTTTTTCTTTAACTATTACTTAACAAATTATTTGTTTTTAATCCATATTACTTATAACTAAAGAAATATAAACAATTATAAAATAACAATAAAAAAATAATTATTTTTTAATGAAATTGGCTGAATACCAATTAACGAAAATATAAAACATTTTATATTATTTATTTCTATTATTATTATCTCTATGAGGAAGCAAAGTGTTCATGAAATGAACACAACGAGATTTATGAAAAAAATCGTACAACTTGGCAGCGGTTTTTTTTTTTAAACTCATAGCGAAGTATGAAGATTCTACCACGAAGTGCGATAGTCATCATGAATATAAAAAGTTATTTAATTAACGATTACACTAGAACCTCCAACGATTGCATCTCTATCTATTGCAGTTGTTTACGAAAGTTTGGTGGTCATCCGCTAGGGGGGTGAGAGGGGAGGACACCGCCATATTAATGCGAAGGCAGTATTGTACTAAGTTTAGTGTTCTTTTGCGCCCCGTTTTTTAAAGTTGTATTTTCATATTTCAACATGAGACTGAAAAAGGTCAAAAACGTAAAAGAACGCACTTAGACATTGAAACTAAACATAATATTTTTAAAAAAATAAAAAATGGCGAGGATAAAAATGACATTTTACGCCAATACAAAATATGTGAGAGTGTACGGCCCTGAGTGTTGACACTTTTATGGAAAGATGGCGCCAAGGTGAAAACCTCCATCTATTGCACACAAGAAGGTCACGCTGCAATCGTTGGAGGTTCTAGTGTATATCAAAGCTTCTTTGATAAAATTCACAAAAGATTTTAAAGAATTGAAGTATTTTCAATGCTTCATGTCTGAAAATATTAAGAAAGCAGAAAGTTAAAATCGGGTGAGCCGTTTTCGAGAAAAATCGATTTTTTGATTTTTCTTTCCCCCTCCACAACTTCTGTAAAAACGCATTTATTTAAATAATATTTGGTGAAAATTTTTATCATATTAGTACCAAATTTTATTAATAATTTCATCTTTCTTGGAGCAAAAGCAGATTTATTCTTATTCCCCTATATCCCTTATAGGCTTTTAGTTGTAAAATTCTATATTATACTATCGTTAATAGGCCTCGGCTCGGATAATATCCCAGTGCCTTAAAGGAGATAACCTATCTCTCGATAATGTGTTATAAGTGCTCGGATTGTGAATTAAGTAATAAATAGAAAACGAAATTATAAATAATTTCTCACCTTTAGCTTTACCAATACTACCACGGATCCTTTCGCAATTGAAGCCAATGGTAGGAACAGTATTTAGGTACTGATCGAATTTGAGACGGTACAGTGCCGTCGTTTTGCCTGCACTATCCAAGCCCAACATAGCCACATGAAATAATGTTCCCGTAGGAAAAGCCTCCAGCAGGCTACCGCCGCTCGTGCCAGTTCTTCCCAACCCAGCACCCATTCCTTAATTTTCAAACATCAATGTTCACCAAGCTTTACCCCAACATTTATTAATCAATTTGCCACATCATTTTAACTTTCAATTGCATTGCTTATTACTTCACTGCAGCATCACCTAAAACAAATATATCGTAGATTTTAGAAATATTGAATTTCACTTTGTATACTCCTCATATTTAATTTCCCATAGCAAAAAGGCGCAAGAGGCCTGCGTCATTTTTACCTTTGAGAAAAAATTGCTATTGATTTTACATGGTCGAACAAATAAATCCTAGATAGCACATAATCTTGTAGCAAGCTTAAAATGTCCCGCACCCATAGGAAGCGAGTCATGTAAGTTTGTCGCAATATTGAGGCAAGATTGACGCAAGCTTATATTATGCTTGCAGCAAGATTGTCGTATGGTTGCTGCTAAAAATTGTATTTTATAATAATATATAGTAATTTAATACAGTAAAATTATTTTCAGCAAGATTACATGCTATCAGGGATGGATTTTCCCTGTTGTCGAATATTGTGTTACAATTGTTATAATTTCAATAATAGAATAAAATCTTATAATTTATTAAAATTGTAGCCAATTGAAATTTTTGTGCACAATACATTATACTAAAATGATTAAATATTGTTCTTGAACTCGCCAGGGAAGACGCGAGTATGTCAGGACCGTAAACGCTTCAAGGACCGACTAAATAAAGCTGGGTATAAAAAATTATCGCATGCAACGTCGCAAGTCAATATTTGCAGTACAATTTTCGCTTAAGGTTGATATTCAATATTCCTTTTCACGGTACGCCAGAAAGGTGTTTTATTAAAATTATCTGGTATCTTCGATTTTCTTTTTGTAAATGATAGTTCGAGATGCCAGGCAGTCAATTGAATACTTCTTAAAATCAAAAACAAATGCCCCGACCATTTCGATAAAATACCTTTCCGGCGAACCATGTTTTATGTATACATTTAAACAACCACGCATTCTTCCATGAACATCGCCACTCAGTTTCTAGCCTCGCTGGGCGAGGTACTATCAAGTTTCAGGCAAATTTCGGTGCTGTGTGGGTTGATCTCTCAAAATTTGATGAAAATTTTTATAAAAATTTCTAACATTCAGAATAAATTATTTCTTTCAGTGCATATACATACATAATTTGTTTTTTATTGTTGTACGGAGAAAAATGGTTACTCAAATTTACTATCTAGATTCTAGATCATCATGGGTGATGATCGTGGATAGTCAACTATAGGACAACCATCTAGATATTCAAATTTAGTATCTTAGGATTTAGTCAAAGTTACATACTACACTAGGGAGAGACCTTTATTAGCAAAAATTACAAAAAAACTAGTAGCAAAGTTACTATTATATTGTACCAAGGAAATAGATAAATTTATAACATTAAAATAGCAAGTTTTAATATTTTGTGTAAGAGTTGTAAAGATAACAAAAATTGATAAATAATTTCATCTAATTATATATTGGACAAAATCTGACAAATAAAAACATTTAAATATAAATGTTTTGCATTAAAGAATTTTTTTCTATAATTGATATTTTTGATTGAAAGAAAAATTTCTTTAAAACAAAGAAGAAGCCGACAAATATACAAAGAAATTATGATGCTTTATTTTGAATCAAAAAAATATTTCTTTAAATGAAAGAAACATTTCTTTCTGCACAACTTCCTATCAACTTTCTTTCTTTACAAAGCACAAACTTCTTTGAAACAAAGAAACCTTTTTTTGGGTATATATATAATTCCCATCTTGTTTCTATTTATAAGTACGAAAAGGTAATGTACATAAGAAGGACAGAACAGACGGAAGCAAAATGTCATGAGTATTATCCTATAGGGGGTCCAAAAATACATGGAAGAAAAGAAGGGATTCTTTTGCTCTCATCCTCTGGGATTGAAGTTTATCGAAAAAATAACCCTATTTTTTAATAAAACAATATTAAACCGTTATTCAATTTTAAATTTAACATGAATTTGAATTGGGAGAAAAAACTTTTTTCGTAAATTTGTTATAAAATATTATAAGTATGTATAATACAGAAAAATTTATATTTTTCAATCGGTAAACTCAGTATCGGATTTGTTATCATGGAAAGCACCCTCCCCCAATTACAGTAAACATTTTTTTCAGTCAGTATAGCTCTAATTAAAAGTTTTTAAAAGTTTTTTGACGTTATATCAAAATTTTCATCTAATGGGGTTAAACATACCTTGGTTTCCTAGACTCTATTTTTTCACAACATAGTTAATTTATCAAATGTACTGAAAAAAAATTTCTACCCCGTAAACAACAAGGTGGTTATAGTTAAAATTGTGTAAAAATTTAAATGTTCCACTTCAACAAATGTTTATATAGTGTGAAACTTTCCTGAAAATTTAAATAAAATTTTTCGCCTAAGTCTAGGCAAAAATTTTTAGGAAAGTTTCATGCTATAAATTTTTGCATATAATAGAGTAGCCGAAAATGGAATTTAAATGTTCAGGAAAGTTTCAAGCTAAATTTCCAGGAAAGTTTGACGATAAACTATTATTGAAGTGGGACATTTAAATCTTTACACACGTACACTAAATCCCTCTAGGATTAAATTAACACCAGAAAGGATTAAAAATTTTAGACACTCCTAAAAAAAAGAAAGTAACTTACTAACTTACTAACTAACTAGCTAACTGACTTACAAACTTAATTACTAATTTAATTACTAATACCTTAATTAATTTATTAACTCACTGACTAATTAACTACGCGGTAAATCGTAAGGTGATAAAATAACAGCAGAATAGGTTAAAATAATTTGCAACAGTTTAATCCATCTTGGATTAAATTAACACCAGAAAGGATTAAAATAATATATTTTGGTGTTATTTTTTACTATAAATGAAATTTTACTTTAATTCAAACACCAAGTCAATGATTTGTAAAAATTCGGCAAATTTAGCTTCACCAGGAACAATAGTTAGTTAGTAACTAATTTACAAACTAACTTTCTAACTAACTAACAAACTTAATTACTAATAAACTTACTAACTTACTTACTTACATACTTAATTACTAATAACTTAACTCACTTACGAACTTATTAACTAACTAACTTACTTACTTAATTACTAATAACTTAACTCACTTACTAACTTATTAACTAACTAACTTAGTAAGGCAGTAAGCAACTAAGTTATCTATAATTTGTTAGTAACTGAGTTACGTAAGTAAGTTAGCTAATTAGTAAGTTAGTTAGTAAGTTAATTAGTAATTAAGTGAGTTAGTTAGTTAGTTGTTAGTAATCGTAGTCTTGGTTTTGATCTGAAGTAAAATTTTAATCATAGTAAAGAATAACATCAAAATGGATTATTTTAATCCTCTTTGTACATGTAAGTGTAACTTACTGTGTAACTTAGTAAGGTAGTAAGTAACTAAGTTAGGTAAGTAAGTTAGCTAATTAATAAGTTAGTTAGTTAGTAAGTTAATTAGTAATTAAGTTTGTAAGTTAGTTATTTATTAACTAACACGCAAAAAAATCCGATTGAAAATTGTGGAGTTCAGCGCTAGTAACTTAGATTTCATTCTCAAACTTGTCTACCTTTGCGGCTCCAGGATAGAAAACAGGGAAATGAATGGTAAAAGGTTTAAAGCACGTCAGTAGGCTTAAAATGTTTTCGTTCTTATGCACACTTATACGCGGAACAAAGCAGACTAAACACATTGATAGGCGCTTCTGGGCGGAGTCCAAGGCAAGTCTAGTGCCGAGTCCCATACTGAATATAATGTGAGCAGATCTTCTAGTGACCTACATTATTACTTTTATTTGTCAAAATATTTACTTTTATTGGAATATTCAATTTGAAACTAAATATAAAATTTAAAAATGAAACAACTAAAAATATTAGAATACTTTGAATTTTATAAAACTTCTCACTGGGATTTTTATTATTCTTTAGATATTTAAACGTAGAATCTCTTTAAAAATTAAATACAAGTCCTTTGCCATTTTTACTAAAATGATCTGTTTTAAAACGTTTAAAGAAAGAGATTTTATTTAAATATCTACAGATTAAACAAAAATTCCAATGTGAAGATTTTTAAAATTCAAAGTATTCTCTATTTTTTTAAATATTATTTCATTTTAGACTTTACATTTAGTTGCCTAAATTGAACATTACAATAAAATATAATAACAATTAGGCATTGCATAAGCGGCTAAAAACAAAATAAACACACATCTAACCTCAAAATGAGATCAAACATTTCACATAGATATTCTTCTACATTCATTTGTAACACTAGAACTTTATTACAAAACTGCACTGACTATTATATTTAAAACTAAAATTTTTATTAATTGAAACAATTAATACACTATACGAACTACACCGAGACTTCCGTGTATATCAAAAACGAAGAAACTGAACAAACGCGGGCGCAGGCGCGCCACAGAGTTTCGCATTCCTAAAAACTGTTTGGGAATGAATCTAAGGACTCTCGCACAGAACAGTCCCCGTTTAAGTGAACGTTGATACAAAGTTTGTAACAATTGAGTAGCTGAATTAAAATAAATGCAAATAATAATAATTGTACCTAATTCTTTTCACCTTTCAATTAATTACGGAATCTGATTGCACTTGTTGAAAGAAGACTATTGGCGTTTATTAAGATATTTAGCATTGATGATCTTCATTGAAAATCGTTAATAAACTTTTTAGGATAGAGAACCAAAATTTAATATTTCTTCCTATGATAATACAAATCATTCAAATTGTTTTATATTCAGTCCGAAATCTGAATTTTCATTTTTCTCCGTGAAGTTAAGTAAGTTAGTTAGTAAGTTAATTAATTTATAATTAAGTTTGTAAGTTAGTTAGTTAGTTAGTTATTAACTAAGTTAAGTAAGTTAGTTAGTAACTTAATTAATTTATAATTAAGTTAGTAAGTTAGTTAGTAACCAAATTAGTTAGTTTGTTAGTTAAATATCGGTGACTTGGTTTTGATTTTTTGTAAAATTTCAACCATAGTAAAAATAACATTAAAATGCATTATTTTAATCATTTTTGGTGTTAATTTAATCAGCAACGCTTTTTAATACCCCACAATTTACTGTGTAATATAACCCTAAAAAATTGAGGGATTTGAAAATAAATATTAAGTAGTACGTATAATATTATAAATTCTCTGATGTAGGACTAAAATTTGAGAAAATTTGGACCCGATCTCATGCATTTTTTTCTCTGTCCTTAGTTAGGTACTTTTGATTGTGGACATCTATATCTGAAATATTTTGATAAAGAAATACAAGTATTGTATTGAAGTTTATTCCTATAAACATTGAAACAAGTCAACAAGCAAATTGTAAGATTTGCTCTATTATAAAAGAAATATATTTTTATTAAGAAAGGTAAACGGCAATGCACTATTAATTGATCAATTTTCTGTAAAATTCGATTCATATCGTAATATGATTGAATTGATAGGAATATTATAGAAAAAGCGTACCGATTAAATTTAAACGAATTTTGAGAGAAAGGTATAAGTGTGACCTACACCAACACCATTACCGTCTACTGCCATTAACAGTTACCAATGTTGATTCACATATCTGTGTTTCTGGTTGGCAACGGATTTGTCGAGATATCGACTTATAAAAAAGCGCATGCCCGTACGTCCTCTGAACAATTTTCCGAGTTGACTTTATGGAAACAAAATTGAAAAACTAAAATAAATTGCTCTTTATCGAGAAAAAAAATCATTAATTTATGTGACAATATTGACAATCTATATGATATAAATAATGAGGTCATGAGTGCGCGATATTGCTACAAAAAGGACACTGCATTGCAGCTCTTTAAATCTTATCTTTATATTTGAACCTTAGCAACAGAGATCTGCCACGTGGTATCGATTTTCCGATCAGCTGCTTCTGGATTTAAATTGAAACTGTCTATGTAGTGAGAAATTATCACAAGGAAGGAAGGAAAATGTAGTGTCTGTATGAAAAAGATAGAAAATTTTGTTCATAAATAAAGAGAATTTTGTGTAATAAAATACCTTAAAAATATATTTATTTCATTCAGGGAATTCACAATTAATATAGTATTATACAAAAGCAATGAATTATAATTTACACTTTCATTTAATTTACGGAATTATAAGGTTATCAGAAGAATATTTAATTTCAAGATTATAATAACTGATTCATAGTATGATGACTTAAGATTACAGAAATATATTCATACTGAAGATAAAGAGCTAAGAATTAAAAAGGTCAAAAAAATTGAAAGTCTTATAGTAATTATGATTATTATTGATTCAACTGTAAAATACAATAGATGAGATCAGGCTTAAAAATTAGACCTAAATTTTAACAATAAAAAAATTAAAAAGGAATTAAAATAAATTTGCAGTGTAGTGTAACTTTTTGCGACTGCGCACCTATATATGCCATTTATTCACTTAGACATGAAATTATTTATAACAAAAAAAACACAAATCTTAAAAATTATAAGCTAAATGGGAACGTCTTTAAGTAACTAGAGAATACAATGTTATTAGGTTAATAGATTATTCAGATAGGTATCAAAAATGTGTTTAGCTCTAGTTTGACACTAACACGTTTTTCATTATGTAACGATGTGATTAAAGGAAAAATAATGTAAACACTAATGTGTTTTACTATCTTTACAATAACGTGCAACATATAACTGAATCCACGAAATTATAATATTTTTATTCCTTCATTTTATACACTACATAAAAAGTATGGTTCCAGTTCATGTCCAAATAAAAATAGACTGGCCCTCATTGTTATGGAAACGCGATGAATGTATTTACTGTAAACTAAAAGCGGGATATATTTCTTCAGTACGACTATGTTCTAAACTTTTTTTTATGATGAAGATATTGTTTAAATTTATGCAAATTTCTTACTATTTTGGCGCCGAATATATAATATCCAGAAGGGAAAGGCACACAGAATCTTCTATAGATTAAGATCTCACACTGACACACTCGTTATGTTACAAGTACATAATAAACACTAATTTTCACTTTATTGTAAGACTTAATATTTTACTTAATTCACATCTAATCACCATTTTTTTAGCAAACTTTATTGCGTATGCAATATTTACATTAAAGGATTAGGCATAAACATATACACGATACATAATATTTCTCCGATAATACTTCATCACCAACGGTGGGTTGGCATACACTGGGAGTCCATCAAATCTCTACCACTTTCTACATTCACTTTGATGAAACTGTTCATTCTGTTTCAGAAAACCTACACCATCAGGCGCCACCTCTCCGACTTACCGACTTTTGCAGCATCGGTAATGTTTTGAATAAAGAACAAAGTATTGAAGCCCCTTTTTAATAAAAGATTTTTTAATTATAATTTTATGAGATTTTTATTATTTCTAAATAAGAAAACGTTTAATAAAAGAATAAAATTCACAATTTGTAAATTAATTAAAATTGATTGAAAATCATTGTCTGTTGTTCCAAATTCCTCGCTTTTTTCCAAGTTTGTCAACACTGCTGCTAGACATAAAATAAGGTTATGCATAGAGACCTACACTTTGTGCGAAGCGCATAATCGCATAATTTTCAAAAATTAAAAGAAAGTTTAAAGTTTTACGTATTATAATGTTTATGAATAAAATAAATTTAACGTCGCGTCAAAACGCATAATTTTTTTTCATCGCACAATTTTTGAATTCTCGCATAATTGTGCATAATTATATTTTTTGTTCAAGAAATATAAAAATATTTCACAGTCTAAATCTGCATTAACGAAATATCTGTTTATAAATACATTTTATCATAAATTTATGAGTAAAATTAATCATCCATAATTAAAAGGGTAATCCTAGTTGTAATTTTCAAAAAATCGGTTCCCGGCCAAAAAACCGTGTACAAGATCATACGTAAGAATTTATTCAAGAACATTGACAAGTACTTTGTATGAACTTACACACGTTCGGCCTAAGGATTTGGAACAATGAACATATACAAGAATATGTAAATGTTCTTGCAAATATAACTCAAGATAACGAAAACCACGAATTCTCTCTTGTGTACTTGTACAAGATCATGTATAAGTTCATGTATAATTAATAATATTATCTTATTATTATCTTTTATTAACTTTTTTATTTATGCAAAATAGAAGGAAATTTTTAACATTGTCTTTAGTCACTCTCCACATGTACGATCTAAAAATAACTGCGCAGCTGCAGAAGCCATAGAAAACTACTGCGCAGCCTTTAAAGTTTTTAATTAAATTGTACAGGATCTTGCATATGAACTTATATATGATTTGTACAAGTTCATGAGTCTAATAGATAGTTTTACTTACTCTCGGTATGGACTCTTATGCATGTTCTAGCACATGTTCTTTGTACCAAATCCTTGGGCTGAACATACACAAGTTCGTGTGCAAGATCATCTTATCAACGTTCTTGCACATGTTCTTACGTATGATCTTGAGCAAGGATTTTCAGCCGGGTTTTTCTTTTCTTGTATTTTTTCTAAGTTTACCCACACAACACCGAAAATTTCCTAAATATTTACTAAAAATTTACTTGCAAGCTTGGAAGTATTTACTTGCAAAGTTTAGTGAAAATTCTGCAAAGATTTAAATGTCCCACTTCAATAAATGTTGAGCTAACTTTGCAAGTAAATTCTTCGAAGTTTGCAAGTAAATCTTTAATAAATTTTTAGGAAAGTTTCGGTACTGTGTGGGTAGGGTCTCAGACATATGTTTGTGAAATAATAAGTTGATATTTTAAAAATTGAGTGAGATATAAAGCTTTAAAGATCTGAAGTAAGGTTCAGTTAAGTCCGGCTTCCTGTAGCCCGGAACAAAATTTCGTCTAATGAAAGAGTATGATAAAATTTTAAACTCGTTTTTCTTTAAACAGCATTTTGCAAATCGGTGATCGCACTATTTCTCAAAAACTACTGCACTGAATCTCCGATTTTTCCTGAGTTTAGTGGGCCTTTTTAATACATAAAAATCTACGTCTCACCTCAATAGAATGATTTCTTTTTTTAAGAAAGGGGTCGTCCATAAAGCATGTGATATTTGAAGGAGTAGGGGGGTCCATAAAATATCATGCTTCATATTAATCATTAATGGAAAAAGTATCAAGTTGGGGGGGATAAAATTTCGGAAATTAAGTATGCTTTATGGATGACCCCAAACAATATCTTTTTACAGCTGAGAACCCACAGCATTTTTTTATCTTCTACTTTAACTAAATTCGTTTGAATTTTGTATTTCTGAGAAACCAGCTCCTTGTTACCGTGGTCATCGCAAAACATATTTCTTATGATGACCTTTACTCTATATTTATAGAGAATAAGTTGCTTTATTTAAAAATGTTGGTGGTTTTTTTTAAAAAAATTAACATAATGTTAAAAGCTTTATTTAGGTCCTTAATAACGTTTTTCTTTCAAAAGCATTAATTTCCACTTTTTAATTTTTCAACGCATAATTTCGCATAATAATCAGTTTTTCAGGGCATAATCCAGTAATTTTCAGCGTCATAAAATACTGTCCTTAGTTATGCATTTTTAAAAAGCGGTATCTTAAATATAGGGGAGACTAAGCGCGGTTGTTACAGTGTGCAGTTGTTACAAATGGAATATCTCTAAAACAGTGAATTATAGAGATGGGGTTCTAAAGGGAAAAATGTTTAGTTTTTATGTACGAATTTACTGCAATATGTTTAAAAATTATATGCAAGCTTTACAAGTAAAAAAAAATAGGCACATTGGTTTTTAGAGGCCAAAAGTAAATATTTCTCTGCTTGATATTCTTTAAATAACTAATAGACCTTTATACTTAACAAAGTAATTTTTTTAATATCAATTCTGTGAGAATTAAGCTATAAAAAACTGCCTTCGTTGTCCACATTTAGTGTATACTTTTTAAATAAAGTAAGTTTTTGTAAAAAATGTACCTGTTGGGCAGTTGTTACGATTTTGTGAAGTGTAGTTGTTACAAGTGATGATAAGAAAGAAAATTTTTCCCATAATTCAGCAGATTCGTTAGAAATGTAAAATATTTGTCAGAAATGTTATCACACTCATTTTTTATATAAAATCTCATGTTTTTTCTAAATTCGACTTCAAAATCATTCAAAATTAATGAAAAAAACTTTTTAAGTTACTTTCATATCGAAATAGTATTAGTGCTGCCATCTCTAAGGAACTGTCACTACTATATTACATTGAGCTACATAACCCCTATAAAATGTCAAAACAAATGGACTAAACAAGTGTTTACTTTTGTTGTTTGATTTGTTTTATTTTAATTGTTTAAACATCAGTTGAAGTCTAATATGTTTTATTTTAATTGTTTAAACAATTGTTACTTTCGTTCTAAATAGTTTTTAAGTGTATTTCCTCATAGAAGAAAATTATTTCTCATCTAACTTACTTCAATTACCAAATAAAACTCAAATTACTTAATATACATTATTGGGAACTATATAACTAATAATTATGTACTTAAATTAAACTATATCATTTCAATATTATCATCTTTGTACCAAAAATTACGAATAATAATTAATAAAAATGGTTATAAAAAATTATTTGTCTTCAATTTAGAAACGTTGCAGAGGATTCTTGGTATTGTAACAACCGACATTCACTTTGGGCAGTTGTTACAATTTACACGCTGTCACTAAAATGCTTCTAGTTATTTAAATAATAGATATAGAGCTAAATCAATTATTGCCTTTTAAAGCTAGATAATATACCTTTGATTTAATAGTTTGACCAAACAAATTGGAGTTAAACTCTAATCACAGTAACTGTTTTTATCAAAATTGTAACAACCGCGCTTAGTCTCCCCTACTCTTTGTTTATCTTTTCAATGTATTAATTAAAATTTCTAATAATTTAAATTAATTGCTTGTGAATCATTAGAAATTCTTTAGTTCAACGCTTTTATAATAGATCTTCATCGAAATGGTATATATATGTTTTATAACAAACTTTTGAAATAGTATAGTTTATAACGAATTCTTGAAATGGTACAGTTTGCCCGAATGTACTAATGTGAAACTTTTACAACACTTCAGTATACAGGCAACGGCCACACCACGATGAAAAAACCAGTTCTCGTCGAGTACCTTCTAAACTATCGAAGGGATAAGTCGTCTTTTGGTGCAGGTAGAGAAAACTCACCGAATCCAAGCGCGAAAAAAAAATTAAAATAATTTTCTCAAGATACGAAAATTAAATATACCGCCAAAACGGAAGCGGACCATAGGCCGAGTTTCGCGCCCGCGCGAGTGTCTACCGCCAATATACCGTGCAGTTCAAATGTGAAAAGTGATAGTGATATAATAATCAATAGCAGTGAAAAAAGGGATCAATTCCCTCAGAAAATAGTAAATGTGGACAATTTAAACTCATTTTTTCTAACCAATCCAATTATGGTTAAAAATGATAAAAATTCAAAAATGTCACCTTTGCAAGACAATAATAAAAAACAATCAAATTTGAAAGCACAAAAAAACGGTGTTAAAAAAACTGAAATTCAAAAACCCTATGTGAAACCAAATTTATCTCCGAATAAATGGTCAACACAAGCACCAACTATAAGTGATCCAGTGATATCACCTATTAAAAGCACAAATATGGTAAAAAATATGGAAATTTCTGTCAAAAAATACGATGAAATCATGACCAGTAACATGAATCAACAGAAGATAATAGAAGAACTTCTACAAACGATACAACAGCAAACTGAGAGGATTAACAAACTAGAAAAACTCTACAATAAAAACCCAAATTCAGAAATGGAAACAGATGTGCAGCCAGAAAACACGAAAATAGCAGATGAAGCGGCAATGGGTTTTCCCCAGCAGCAGACACAAAATTTTACAACTGAAAAAAGTGAAAAAAACAAGCAACCAGAACCTTCCATCAATCCCACAACTTCCAAAAACACCAAAGAAGAGGTAAACACTCAAGGACAAATTGCCCCCAATAAAGCAATCAACACAACCACCAGCAAGGGTACTTCAGGTAAACCGCCTCCGATCATAATCTATGGACAAGAGCAAACAACAACGGTAAGCCTTATGAAAGAACACTTAGATTCGAAAAATTTTCACATTAAGAGAATTAATAAAGACAAGCATTCTTTATACACCGAAAATATTAATGATTATAAAAAAGCTAAAACGCAACTCGAGGTCACAAACTCCAAA